GCTCGACGGGACGGTATGGTGCCGGGAGGTAGGCCGCCTGGAGAGGTAGGCACCCCGGTGCGCGCGCCTGCTCGACAGGACGGTATGGTGCCGGGAGGTAAGCCGCCTGGCGAGGTAGGCACCCCGGTGCACGCGTGCGCTCGACGGGACGGTATGGTACCATACTGGCACACGCCGCCGCGTCGTCGCACACTTGTGGCTGCAACGTTGCGGTGTTTACTAAGTGGAGACTAATTGCAAGTCACACTTTTGAATAATTTCACACACTCACTTCATAATATCACTGTCGGGGGTTTGCTCAAGTGGTGTCGCACCCCGCCCCGCCGCCCTCGATAGGGCACGGACAGCACAGAAGCAAATAAAGGCGCCATGACGAATCAATGCGGGTAGCAGAGGTGGGAGATAATGAAGTCGTCGATTAGAGAGGGTGGCATGTCGTGGGCACGACGGGGGATCCGCGCGCCGCATTGGATAGCTCACTTCTGGAGCCTAGCTTACTCTTTGTCTCCTATGCACGAGCGAGTGTGTGTGTGTGTGTGTGTGTGAGAGAGAGAGAGAGAGAGAGAGAGAGAGAGAGAGATGGGGGAGAGAGAGCGAGAAAGAGAGAAGAGGGGGGGAGCAGGGGGAGACAGGGTGAGAGAGTCAGCCGTTTGCAATACTCGTGGTGGTCAAATGGTCCCCGCGTCGGCCGTTTCCGGGCCGAAAAGTGCACTAGCTGCTGTGCCCGCCGTCGTCGCCACCGCGCCGCTTCCACGAACCGCTTTCCGAAACGTCGGAGTCGGAACGGGTAATGTGCAAATATTTGCTTAATCGGCTGCCCCTCGCGCCGACCATGTGTGCGGTATTCAGTTTCGGGGCGCCGATGATGCACGCCGAGCCGAGCCGGTGCGGGCCGGTGGGGGCGAGGCGAGGTGGCGCTTTTGTGCCGTGGGCGGGCGCGCAGGGCGCTACCACACCTGTCGCCACACCAAGAGCAGCAGAGGCAAGCATTTCCGGCGGGCCGCGCGACCAACCGACCTCCTCAGCAAAGGTGCTTGACCCATCACCTCCACGGCACTTATAGTATATATGGAAACTTTGAACTATGCTCTGATGCGTGCTCCGCAAAAAAAAAATTATGATGATTTTGACGGAAAAAAATGTTTTATATCGTTTATGAGTTTGCATTTCCTGGTCGTCTCGCCGCTGCGTGCGCATGGCGCGGCCCCCGGTGTGCGGCGTGTGGCGACTGACTTTCCTATAGCCGTGCCGTTGCATAGCGCCCGTGTGCGGTCCTGAACCAGCGTGGGTGACAAATAACTGAATAATGCGAGTAAGGGGAGGGGGGATTTCCTTCCCTGAAAAAGGTGTCCCGAGGACAGGTGCCCCCTCCCCTTCTCCGTCTCTCCTCGATTAAAGACCTACCCCTTCAAAACAAACATCTCGCACCCGCACGCACGCCCCTCCCCGGTTCTGCCAAACACATGAGTGAGTGGCTGCAACCATGTGTGCCCTACACGCTAGGGTAAAAAAGAAATAAGAAAGAGAGAAAAAAGAAAACGGGGATAAGTGAGGCATGATGGTTTGAGACGGCGTCAGCAGCCCAGCTTCCCCTCTGCTCGTTGCTGGCTGTCACGGTAAAGAAGTTGTGACTGCTAACTTTAGCTGGAAGAAGCAGCCGCAGCAGCAGCAGTGGGGCGTCATTGTGTGGACGGGAAAAGTGCATAAATAAAAACACACAACGTACACGCGGACTGACTGGGGTTTGTCAATCCGACGCGAGCCAACATCGCCTCGCTCAGGGAGAACAGACCAGACGACTCGTAAAATCGGCAATCGGATTCTTCACTGCTCGCCATGCAGCCCCGCCCCGCCCCGAGCCCGCACTCCTCGGTGCTGTCTATACATAAAATGTTGGTGCGAGGTCTCTCTCGCATGTGTCGATGTCCGACCTGACGAGCGTCGATCACCGTAAATCGTGACCGCACCGGACCGCACCGGTTCCAATGACGCCTCCACCGGCGCCTCCGCCGCTCTAGCTAGCTGGCGGGCCCTCTAATGAGGTGTCCCCGAGAGGGAGAGAGAGAGAAACAGACAGACGATCTTCAGTCGCGCCCGCCACGCCAATCAGCTTCTGCTTTCCAAAGCCGCGACCGCGGCCGTATATTCTCCCACGCAAGGTGGTGGGGTCTCGACTCTCCCGTTTCCTCGAAACCGCTGACCTGGTGGTGTACCGGGTGCCGCCGCGAGCGCGCGAGGGGGCTCGAGGACAGGTGGACTTCCACCTACCTACCCGACGCGACTGCACCCCCCCCGCCCCTCGTCCTCCATTCCGGACCTTCTTGCGCTTGTCGCCCCACGGCGATCAGGTGGAAACCAGAAGAGGCCGCGTCGCCTAGAGAACTGGACGAGCGGTGGTGGTCTCTGCAATGCGCACTCGATCCGACTCCGACCCACCGCACTGCACTGCCGCGACCGAATCGCGAGCGGAGTGCACGCGCGTTTTGTTTGTGTCGTTTTGTGGGGATCGCCCCGGCTCTGGTTTCGACGGTTTGACGGCGTCGCTGATGAGAGTGGCAGCGTGTTGGCCGTTTGCGTCTTCTTGAGTCCTCGCGCCACACATGTGGTATCTGGGGGGAAGGGGGGAGACTCCGCGTTGCAAAGGGTTGTCTGGCAGGAAGCAAGAGAGGGGAGAAGGGAGGAAGGAGAAGGAGGGAGACCCTCGGCACTGGTTGCGCCGTCGCTCGTTCACTTGTTCTTCTCGGGAGGAGGGGAGAACAGCGGTAGGAGGGGTGGTCGTTGTCGCTGCCGCGGATGCTGCGGATGGCACCGCCGCGGGCACCGCCTCCAAGCACGCTGAAGCAGAGCACCCGCTCAGTTTCAGCCTAGGGCTAACGGGTAACGTTGCAGGCGTTGCCATCCGAGCGACAGGTCAACGATGATGACCCCGGAGTGACCCGTGCGGCGAGGTGTTTTAAAACTCTTTCTGCGCACTGCCTCGCGGAAAATCTCGCGAAAAGTTACCCCCTCGCCGTCGCGCGAAAAAACGGAGGCACTACAGCCCCTACTCCCCGCGTCCAGACCCACACTCCGCCCGCCACGCCCGGCCACGCCCACCTCCACCCGTGCTACTACTGCAGCCGTGGCGTTAGCAGGCACGGCGCGGCACGCACGGGCACGGCACTCGCACGCCCCCGTCCACACCCGCCCCGCCCCGCTGCGCT